TCCGCGCCGCCGCCGTCGTCACCGCCCGCTCCGGAGCCTCCCCCGCCCCCCGACGCCTCCCTGCCTCTTCCTCTGACTCAGCCACGTCATCCGGCCACCCCGGCACACGCCGGAAGTGCCTCGCGACGCGGGGCCGCAACCGCCGCGGCCGCCCCGCCAGGGAGGCGCTAGACCGCGGCCGCTGAGGACCGCGCGGTGCCCGGCCCTCAAGTCTGCCGCCCGGGAACCCGGGCCTCGCGCCCCTCGCGGGCGCCTGGCTCGCACCTCAGGGCCGAAGCCGGCTCCCTTCGAGTTGTGCGACCGGGTCCAAACGCTTAACTCTTCCGGCCTCAGTTTTCCTCGGCTGTGAAATGGGGTAATAGTCTGACCTGCCGCCTCGAGCTTGATTTGCGGGGGGCGGAGGGGGTCAGGTCAAATAGTCCTTACCAGGCGCTCGACTCCCGCTGTGAATGAATCACCCGCTCCTATAATCATCATTATGGGAGGGTGTTAAACTGGTACCCGGTTGGATGAGTGTCTTATAGTCACTGAATATTTGTTGAACCCCTACTATTCAATCTTGTTTAAACCCTTATTTATTTGTTTTTTCTTGGTCACTCGTCCACAGATATAAACACCTCTAGGCTCTAAGCTTCTCCCCTAGCAGAGATGCTGTTCACTGACATATTTCCTGTGCTTAGGACAGTGTCAGGCCCGTAGTTGGAACTCAAAAGATACTTGTCAAATAAATACATGAATACGGCACCACCATTTACACAGTCCTCTAAGCCAAAAATCTGGAACTTGGCAGTCCGATTGTCTCTCAGCCATCGGCAGTCAACAAGTTCTGGCATTTGTTATCTTAGAAAGGTCTCAATAATTAATTTTTCCCTCGCTTCTGCCAGTAACAGCAAGTCTTCCACACCGCACTCACTACGTACTGCAACAGCCTCCTAACAGGCTCCCTACCACCATTCTTCCCTCCCTGTTTATTCTCCCCAACAGGTCCAGAGTGATCTTTCTGAAAAGAAACCTGAGTATATCACTCTCCTGCTTACGACACTTCTTGAATATTGTTTAAATAAATCAAGAAATCACAGCTAAGATTTTCATCTGCCAGGCACTTTTCTGAGCACTTTAAATGAATTAACTCACTTAATCCTTATGCAGTAGGCACTGTTAGTATGTTTATTTTACAGATATGATAACTGAAGCACAGAGGGTTTAAGTCGTTGCTCAAGGACCTGATCCAAGCAACTGGCTCCAGAATTTTTTACTATTAATGGACTACCATCCATGCAGTCATTTTAAGAAATGGAAGAGACTTGTATGTACTGGCATAGAATGATAACTGAGAGATAATTTAAATGAAAAAACTTGAAAATACAGAGTATAATTCCATTTTGAATGATATTAGTCTGCCCATAGAAAACAATCTGAAAGATTTTGACTCAAACCATTAACAGTGTAATGCCTGCAAATATTTGGACGTTTTTTACAATGAGTATGTGCTACATATGTAATCAGAAAAAAAATAGTTCCTTGTCAAAGGATAGTCCTGTTAGAAACAAACTCGCAGATATAGTAAACAATCTTACGGTTACTGGAGGAAAAGGGGTGGGAAAGGATAAATTTGGAAGTTTGAGATTTGTAAATGTTAACAAGTATATATAAAATAGATTTAAAAAGCAAATTTCTTCTGTATAGGACAGGGAACTATATTCAATATCTTGTAATAACCTTTAATGAAAAATGAAGATGAAAACAAATATATGTATATGTATGCATGACTAGGACATTAAGCTGCACACCAGAAATTGACACATTGTAACTGACTATACGTAAATTTTTTTTAAAAAAGATAGTCTTGTTAGCCTGCAGCTGCACAGATTCCAATTTAGCTCAACTTCACTTCCCACTGATACTCAGGCTACATCCCTATATTTCCCAAATACACCATGTTCTTTTTATACTTCTGTGCCTTTGCTCTTGAATGGAAATGAATGGGCAGCCTATACTTACTCTTTTTCCAGGCCAAAATGAATTATCACCCCTTCAGTGATACCCTGCATAATGCCCTCAGGAAGTTGAGCATCCCTTCTGTAGGATTCCAGTTGCATTTATGTCACAATTACCATAGTCTCATTTCCTCTTCTTTACTACATTCTGACTTTTTTATTTTTGATGGCAGACACTACCATTTGTTTATATCTGTCCCAGCTGCTGGGATACTGCTTGTCACATCATAGACATTCAATAACTATTTGCTGAATGAAGACATTAATAAGTGAAAAGTCAAATAGCATAGAAAGATTTAAAGAACACTTTCTAGATAGTCTGAGACACCACAAAGCAGTACATGATTAATTGCTGAATGAATCATACACCAGCAATTGCAATAAAAATCGGAGGAGGTGTCTTATACATCTTTGTATATCCCCCAGAGCACCTAGCACGGTGCTCATAATGGAAGCTTAGTAAATGCTCCGTGAATGAATAATCACAGCTTTTGAATCAAGTGATGATGGGCAATTGAAGAACAAGCCCTGTAAGTGCTGAATTAAGATGGATGAGTAGTTTCTTGCTTAAACATCCATCACCAGCCTCCACAGATTGGAGGCAGTAAGCATTTGCTAAGTGTTGTCAGAAGCACTGGGTTGGCAATTGCTTGGGGGTGGGGAGGACAGAAGAAAAAGTAAAAAGTATTCATTTGGGGAGCGTAGACTTAAAACCAGGAAACATTGCACGCATAACAGAAAACAGGCATGACAATATCTTGCTTGTTTATCTTGCTTGTTATCTACTTCTGGGGTCCTTCTATTGCTACTTACCACCTTCCATCTCTACCTTTTCTGTTCTGGCTGAAATGTTCTAGATACCAAAGAATTTTATAATTGTTCTGAATTTTTTCTTTAGGAAGCAATCACTTATAACAGTTGGTTCTGAGACCAAACAGCAACTAAGGCTATTAATTTTTTTGTACAGTTCCCATTTTACTGTTTCCCACACATCTTTTAAAGTATCTGTTATAACAATGTGCAGGGAACAGCAGGTGCCACATAATAGGATGCTTTGCCAATTAGATAGTGAGTCCAGTAGGGCTGCCTCCCTCCTTCAGAATAAGGGATTCTCCACCTCTTGTCTTAGTCCTAAACTTAGAGTTGAAGGGACCTGGAGCAGTACTAAACACAAAACGCTTCACTTCATAGATGATGGGTAGTCAAGTGAAGTGAACTCAGCAAGCCAGTAGCAGATCAAAATAAAATCCAAGTCTCCTGACTTCCAAGCCAGTGTTCTCTCCCTGCATCATGCTAACTCTTACTGCATAGCTAGCTAAGACATTTTCTCCTATATTGTGGGTTAAATAGGTTTTGGTGAGCCAGCCTAGGAACCTACTATTTATTACAGTGTCTATTAATTCTGAGTTGTGCCTCAACATTCAGAACACACCTTTTACCCTCCTACTCATCCTCTCACCATTCTGGAGAACGCAGTATCTGGCCATCAGGAATGAATGAGGAAGGCCACATTATATTCTTAATAACTCACTTGGAAATGAATCAAACACAATTTATTTATCAAACCAAAGAAAACATTTAAACAGGCAGATTCCTCAAAATTGAGGATTGATTTTTAGGATGAATCTTCTAGAGTTATCCAAATTAGCTACTTGTCTTTCTTAGAAATAAATCTGTTACTAATGCTTCCTTAGCCAACCAGCTGCAAAATCCACACACTATTCTTTGAAAGACCAGCAGAGAAAATGAATACTTCCTGGGGCATATGGGAGAGGGATCTAAAAATCCCAACTACTGAGGTGATATAGAATGGACTAGGATCTCTCTTTTTTAATGACAAAGCAAGACAAAAGGAGAGGGAGAGGGTAGGTAACTTAGCTTGACTTATAAAAATATTCATTGAAATCATTTACATACTATTTGCCTAATTATGGCAAAGCATTAGGGATTATTCACATCATTAAATACTTCAGGTTAAATTATTTGATTGTAACACACACCTCCTGTTTATAGTCTATCAGTGTCCCTACTTTGTTGCTTATATTGTTGGTTGTTTGCTCACAGGTTTTACTATAAGATGAAGGAACAGTGCTGGCCTAGCAACTGGTGGACAATGTACCTTGTACAGTTAAGAGGCAAAGTCAATGGCAATGAATATGACCAGTAGCTTCACTGTCTATTGAGCCAGTTTGTAAAATCTTGGGGAAGGATGGTGTCAGCAGAGCTGTCTCCCAAGGTATCATGCAGAGAACTTTTTACAGAGACTAGGTGTCTTTGGACACATAGTTACAATTTAGTTTCTGATCCTCATTGTATTGAAACCCATGAAAAATGTCACCCCATCATTTCTTTGATAACATGGTCCCAGTGTTTCATCCAAATTTTTTCATTTTCTTCTTTTACTTTTACACACAACCAATCACTTTGTATGTTCAGTGAACATTCAACAAAGTTTTAGACTTGCCATTTTTGACTTGGAACTCCTGATCATTTCTGTCTGTGTCTCAAGTGTGTCACATTTATGAAACCCAGGTTTCTCATCAGCACTCAGTCTTACGTTTTCCACTTATTTTTCATATAAGAATAAAATGCAATAAAAATTTCAATATTGCACAAAGAGTGATATGCATACAAAGATGGTAACAGCATTGGCTGATAGTAGGTTTTGCCATGTTATTAATTTAAATGCTTATTAATCAGAGAATGTAAAAAAAATCTAAATTTGACATCCAAAAGGGGGCTTAGAGGTACTGAATATAAAAAAGTATAGCTTTTATCAAAATCAAATGTGCCTAAGATAGAGACTATCTATAAATAACAGGGAGGATAACTGTACCAACATTATATTTCTTGTTCTCCTTTCATCTCACATAACCCGATTTCTCCCAAATAAGTGACAAGGGGAGTAAAGGGGCCACCGTAAGACGGCTGCCGGGCGCCAGGCATTATGGTAGGTAATTTGCACAAATACTGTCTTAATGGCCAGGGCCAATAGTGTATTTAAAGTCAGAAAAGAAAAAAAAAAACCTGCAAACAGAAAAACCCAAGACCCCAGAAGCTATTAATTTCAATAAGTCCTTGTTTGCCAGACTGAGGAATGAAATGGAAAAAGAATTTTTAATCATTAGAAAATGACTTAATAAAGCTACTCAAATAGATCTTTGATAGTGTGGCTTTTATATATTTGTGTGGGATGGAGAATAATTTCATAGAAAGCCACCAGGTTTCTGATCATTTTTAAAGAAATAGATCTGATACTAATTTGACTGTATGTTTAAGCATCAGGTTAAGAACCAGTGCTTTAAAGGTAGATTTATGTGCTAGGGACTCAAAATTAATGATACCTTTAAGGCTCTACAATCTCTGCACAGATTTCCTAAGCCTAGTGGTAATAACAGGTATATATGGAAATAGATAACGATTTCTATTGTAGGGACCCCTCAGCAGAGTAAAAGTCAAGGAGCCTCCTCTCTCCTGTGGCCAGAACTAAGATCTATCAAGTGAGGTCCCCGGCATCCCAAGCTTCTGGTTCCCAACCACTTTTTAAATGTTCCTTGACAGCATCACTGTTTTGAAAGCATACTGAATTATAAATGCCCCAAATACTTAATAGTCCCATACCTGGGAGATGTGGAAGAAGGAAACTTCTGGAAGGCCAATAGTCAGTCACTGACCGAATTTCTGCATGGGCATATCTAAGGGAGAGCTTGGCTATTTGGAGATGGGAAGTGGTGACCTAGAATCAGCCGGTTCTGATTCTAGACCCACCTCTTCTTCTAACCAGGTGAGTACTCTTGGTTCTTCTCTGAAAGCTCAGAGTTGCCTTCTGTATAAGAGGAGTTAAGACTAGTCCCTCTTTAAAGTCTTTTTGAGTCTGTTGTATGTGACCAGCCCTGGCACTTAAACACCCTCCTGAATCTACAGAAAAGTTGAAGAATTATTTAAAAATTAGGACATACCTTCTTACTTGAATACTGTAAGTCTTAAATCATAACCACTTCTAGAAATTAGGTTGGACTAGCAAATAACCATGGCCTAGTATAAGTGCATTTCAGTAAAATCACTTGTAAAATACATTTCTAAGCAATCTCTTTTGGCTTCTGACATGCCAAATTAGAGGTACGTATTCTAATTAAATCTTCATCCTCTTGGCAAACAAGGATATGCATCAATAAACTTGGTGATGGGGAATGAAGTTCTTCATTTTTCACTTCTTTGTGCCTTAATAATATCTTCTTCAAGGAACGCCCAAACCAGCAGGGCCACAACAATACCAGCAATGAGAGTGGGTCTTAAGGTCTGCAGTCACACCGTTAAACTCAACATGAAGACTTCATTGACAGGCAGAAAACTGCAAGTCCCAAAGTCCCAAAGTCGGCAGGTTTTAGGAGGTGGAATCAACGACCTCTGGGTGGAACTGGTGGAGGAGGGTGGAAGGTCTCCCTCGTCGGGGGCCTGAAATGAAAGATAAAGCAACTATTTTAAAACGAATTTGATGAACTAGTTCTTACGCATCACTTGCTGCAAGCTTGGTATACTATGCGAAGCACATGCTCTTCAGTTAATGAAACTGTACACACATACGGACCTCTGAGTGGCACACATGCTAAGCTGTGACTTGCAATCCTAGCTGCACATCGGAAGCGCCAGTGAAGCTTTGAAGAAATACCAATTTCCAGGCTCGATCCCAGACCTTTCCCTTCATAATCTCTAGAGGATAGGGCTCAAGCATGACAACTTTCGTGTCCCTATTTAAACCAGTTGTATCAACCATGACTTTGTTTTCTGAGGCTTTGATATCTGGGGCCTCACTGATCCTTGGAGGGACTGCCCCTCCCCGGATAAACTAACTCCTAGAGATAGCAAACCACCTGCCAGTGAGCACACTTTCATATGCAAACTAACCAATCTAGAGTCCGTACCCCAGCCACCTCCTTCACTGGGGCTTTCACATTCAAGGCCACTATCTTGTTGCACTGATCACCCCAGGGCCTGGTGCCAGACAACTAGAGACAGACCTTTGCCCCAAAGCCTGCTGAAATTATTCAAACTAGCCAATCCTAAATCTGCCGAGCCTACCTCACTTGTTCCTTCCTGCAGGAACCACAATAAATGCTCTTGCCCATGTTTCTCCCCGCCCCATCCCCACTCGCCTGACTAAACCCAGTGCTTCCCCGTGTGCCCCATCCCAGCATAATGTACCCCTCCTCTTGGGATCCATGAGTATAACAAGTTATTTATTCAATGGCAGTTGTCTCCTGATTTGTTGACCTTGCCATACTTAAATAACAATAAAACCTCTATTTTAAAGCTCTAGTGATTCAAATATGCAGACAGGCGGGAGATACACTGTAGTAGGGAGATCCTTTGAGAGAGGACTTAACAGTTTCTGAAGCTGGCTTCTCACGACTACTTCCACCTAAGATCACTAAGTGTGTCACCCCAACTCCACGTTAGCTTTCCTAGAAGCGCCCTTCCACATTAGATGTTTGGGTTTTTCAACAGTCCTAAATGACACTCCACATAGACTCAGGTGAGTGCATTTACAGAGAGGTTCAACGATTGCAGATGGTATTTCCAAGTGTGTGCTATAAAACCAATATTTAATTCTCTTGGAAGCCAGTCAATAAGTCAAGAAAGAGAGCTCTGTCAGGTGCTGTAATTGAACTGAGCTGCCTAGGAATTGTGTACTTGAGGACTGAATGAATCAGTGAGTAAATATTTAACAAATGTCTCTTGATTGCAAGTTTTGCGTAGGTCAAGGAAATAATAAAAGAGGTGGGAAAAGAGGTATGCCATCTCAGGAACAGAGAGGGACGCAGAAGTACAAAAGAGTAACAACAGTCATCCTCAGGAGGTCCTGCTGTGGCCCCTGGGAGAAGATGACTTTATGTGGTTGTCTCTTTATACAGAGAAAACAAAAGGACAATCTCCTTCCATCTCCCTGACCTGCCCTACGAACAGTGGGCTTATAGGAGAAAGCTGAAGGACAGTGAGGGGATACCACTTATTACCTGAGCTTCCTCCCTTCCTTCCTTCTTTCCTTCCTTCCTCTCAACAAACATTTATCTACTCTGCATCTACTCCTGGGTGTGGCATAGAACAGCAAGTAAAATGGACATGGATTCCACCCCCAAGGTGCAAGAATGTCATGGGTGAGACAGACAATAGGGAAAATCATAACACTGCACCGAATGTTTTGATCGGGGACGTTCAGAACCTGTGAGAACATATGGCAGAGGCGTTTATTCATATGTCTGGAGGACAAGTTCAACTTCTCTAAGCCTGTTTCTCATCTGCCAAACAGAGGTGAAGATACCTACATTGGAGTATTGCTTGAGGCTTGGCGATGACAGTTTGAAAGTGGGTAGCAGAGTTTCTGGCTTAGAATATGCATTCAAGAGGTAAAGCTAATAATTTTACTATTATGATAAAAATCTCTTCTTAGATCTTTCCCCATGCACGTGAAACTTACATCTTATCTTCCATCACAAAGACAGTTGTGATTTCCTCCTCTTCTGCTGCCCCTCTCTGAAGCTGGGGTGGGTCTACTAGCAAACCATCTTCATATTTTATTCTGATGAACAATCCTACCAAGGATTGGAAGCCTCATCTCAGGGAAATGGACTTATGATTATAGACATATCTGAACCATGGAAGTAAAGGGTAATAAACCAGAATTAAGGGGTGGTCTGTGAGGAGACAGCCTCTCCAGGACACTGGGAAGCTGGAGTTGGAGACAGGACTGTCCAGTCCAGAGACACCTAGGCACTGGCTGCTTTCTCCTTCCTGTTGAAGGTGAGGTCTTGCTGATGGTAAGCCTGGTTCAAGAATCCAGCAATCCTACCATTGGTTAACATTCTTTTAAAGCAATCCTGTTATTTTGATGGTATGCTTTTGTATGGTCACAATGTTGTTAAAAATATGTTTACGTTTTCCTACTAGTTTGTAAGTAGCTGCAGGCCAGAGTCCCCTTACTTTCTAACCCCTCTGGCCCCTCCTCCGGACTCCACAGATCTCTTTACAAGTCAGCATCTAAACGACTAACTCCTGGTACTCCAGGAGGCCTTTAGAAGTGTGTTCTGATTCCATGGTACTAGGCTATGCCTTAAAGGGGAGTGCGTAGATTATCAGTGACTGGCAAATCACTAGTAAATGGCAAAATATATTAAAAAAAAACAAAGGGGCTACGGCTTAGCAAGATTTTGGTTCCCCCCCACCCCAACTGTTAAGACTTTACCTATGAAGAATGTCATAATCAGCTGCCCACTCTATAGGGACTACTGTCCTGCACGGGGAACACCTTGCTAAGATATAATGCATCTGCTCCTGTTCGTGTCACCATCTGCCTTCTGTAACTTTGAAGAATATTGGGAACTTACAACAGGTGAGAATGTGAAGCTTCTTTCCACTAATCTGTAACCCAGCCGGCACTGGGGTTGGTGACTTGATGGCTAGCCATTTAGAGATAGGTAGTCCAACCCAAGCAGTTCCAGTAGATCCATCCACCCATTCATTCACTTGCATGATACTTACTAAGTTCCTAGTATGTGTCAAGTAGCTAACTCCATGCTGGGCTGGGAGGGTAGAAAAACTTTTTTTCAATCAAAAACATTCTCTATTCTTGCAAGGTTCTCTATCTACTTGAGGAGACACATATGTAAACAAGGGCCACAATATGGAATGAATTACAATAGAGGTATTCGGGGAACCACAGGAAAGTTCACTTTACATAGGAACATCAAGGAAGGCTTCACAGAAGAGGTGATGTTTGGACTGAGTCCTAAAGGATGCATAGGAATTTTCTAAGCAGAGATTGGAAGCATGTAAGAAGATAGCATTCCAGGCAAAAGAAGGAACAGATTGGGCAAAGACAGTATATAATGGTACAGCTCACTAGGAATTCTTAAGGGGTGGAACATGGGTCAATATAGGAGAAGGATGAGACTTAGGGCCACAGCGTGCTGAAAAAATACAGAATTAAATGTAAGGCTTTTATGCCAGGAAGTGACATCATCAACTGTTTCTGTTCTTAGAAAGTGCACTCTGGGACAGTGTGGAGGAGGGACTGACTGGAGGCAGGGAGGTAAATGTAAGCCTACAAGGATGAACTTAGGCACTGGCAGATGGGGAGGAGGGGGTGGATGTGAGCGCTCAAAGGGCAGCAGAATGAACAGAGCTTGAGGAGCTGCGAGGCAGCCAGGAGTGGAGGACGACTCCGGGGAGGGGCTTGGGGAAGTGTCGTGTCTCAGGCTGGGAAATCATGAGGAGAAGGCAGTGTAGGGCAGAGGATGGCAAAGGGGATGATGAGTTTCATTCTGCCCAGGCTATGTTTGAGATCTCTGTGGGACATCTGGTCAAGTCCCCATTGAACAGTAGGAAATAGAAGGCCAAGACAGAGATGGAGATGGAGATTTGGAGTCTACTGGCAATTCCAGTTCACAGAGTGAGGAGAGGAAGGGGCCAGCATAGAGAGAGGGATGAGCAGGATGAAGACTGCACCCACCAGTGCTGTTTGAGAGAGAGGAGGGTTCGGGAGAGCATGAGCGGGGAAGAGTTGCCAATTCCCAGATCTGGAAGTGGAGTGGAGACCACCCAGGTCAGCCTCCCCTCCTGTCTGTCAGTGGGTCAGGTGTTCAGGAAAAGAGGCCATTTTATTCTTCACTCAAACATCTCCTCATTTTATTATGAAAATTACGTACATACTTACAAATCACTTGCATGTTTGCCAATCTTCACACCCAAAATGGACCTAAACCCCAGTTTCTATCAATTATAGATTTCTTTGCAAATACCATTTCTTTAGTAAAATGCATTTTCCTCCCTCTCTCTTCCCATCTGCACCACAATATGCTTCCAGACTTCCTCAAACAATTTCATCTGCCATTTCCCTTTACATATTAACTGCATACCAGCTTCCAGCCTTTAATTTCTGGAACCCATTTCCCTGGTTGTTCTCTCTTCTGCTGACAAAATCCCACAGAATCTTTGTAGCTATAGATTCAAACTTGACTCTTTTTAATCCTGCTATGATTGAATATCTGCCTCCAAAGTCTTTACCTTCGGAAATAAAAGATCTGAGCTCTTGGATCTCCCCCCCCCATCCATGACACCTCCACCTCCTTGGAGAGGTGTAATAAAATAACTAAAAGACTGGACCCTGGAGTCAGGCTCACCTAGGTCTGACACACAGAGCAAGTCTTAATCAAGTCTCAAGCCCCAGTTTTGACATCTGCAAAATGGGATAACACTAAATATCTACCTTTTAGAGTTTCAAAGAGAATTAAATGAGATAATGCATTTAGTGTGTTTAACCGAATACCTGACACGTAGTAAGTGGTCAATAAATATTAGCATTTATTACCATAATTGCTCTCCATAAACACCCCTCCCCAGTCACTATCTATATAATAATTTTCAAGCAACAGAACATTGCAGAAATGCAGGAGATTGGACTAGATTATCACTAAGTTTCCTTCTAGGGCTAATGTTCTACTACGTGACCTCTAGTCTACACCAGGGAAACATGCCCGGTGAATGTGATGCAGCTTGGGGCTGTGGGAGGTTTGTGTAGCAAGTGTCACTATGCGACTGTTTCTGGGAGCACATGGAAAAGTGGCGAATAGCAAGGGGAGAAATGGAAAGATCCTCAGCGCAGAGTCAGCTGCTTTTTCCAGAAAAGCAGAAGAAAAGCCTCCTTGCACTTTCTCAACAAATTCCACTGATGAGGTTCATCTGAGTTAAAAGTTTCAAAATGCAAAATAAAACCCTGGTTGGAAAAAAAAGCTTTCTGCTTTTAAAATCACCCCCCGCCAACATCGCATTTTAGGTATCAAAGAATTAAACTCCTAAAGCAAGCCTAGGCTTTTATTCCCAAAGGCTCCTTTCTACATTAGCAGACACATAAGCTAGCTTTGACCACCTTTTCTGTGACCCAACAAGATCTTGATAAGATTCCTGCCAGAGGCCCAAGCACTATTGTAAACAAAGATAGACATCAGAGCCCCATGAATCAGTCACACTCTTCGGTGTAACACCCATCTCCAAACCTCCATAGGCTCATCCTTCTGAATAAAATATCACTCAGACTGTTGAGTTCTTACTCTGGGCCAAAAACTCAATCCTTACAACTCCGTGAGGAAGTTCTGTTACCTCTCCATTTTGCAGACAAGGAAATTGAGGCACATGGAAAGTAAATAATTCATCCAAGCTCACAAGTGGCTACCAGAGACTTATCCCCAGGTAGTGTGTCCCTGGGTAGCTTCCCACCTGTGTTTTCATTCCCAGTGCCTTCTTATCTCCTGGTTCCCAGAAGGCACTGTCCCCATAATACAGTCAAGGAATTAGTTACTTAAGAGCTGAATTCTAACCAAACAGATGAAAATTATGCAAGAAGTTGATGTTTACTAATGTGTTTTGCTGAGGAAATACTGCGTTTGTTATTTAGAATCTGTGCAACTGAGTGAAGCCTGACTTAAAGTGATGGAGAATCCACTCTGAAACGTGTCCAAAGTATGCATTTCAGGTAGTTTAGCCCTGTACTCATTCTTAGGTCATCTTAGATGTCAGCAGATCCTACTCTCCCTCTGGAACTCAGAGAGTGAGTTAAGAATCCATCAGCTTCAACGTTACCTCTGTGAGGCAGCTCGTGGTGGCACCCTGGGAGGCCTCTCAAGAGGCACGGTGGGTGCACTGTCCACTTGTGGGGGGCCTGGACTACGGCTTCTGGTAACCTCGGGGACTTCATTATCCTACAGCAAAAAGAGGAGAAAGAGAGGTGAAAATTACGTTAAGCTACCAGCAGAGCTGGACACTGCTATCCCATAAGCTCCTCAGCCCTCCTTCAGCTTTGGCTGAAGGTTATTTACTAAGTGATAGTCAACCCAGTAATACCAGGGCAGTTTCCACTGACTTTGACTCCGAGTCACTGAGGAGACAATCTGGCCCAAATTATCATTAATGATCTGAACTCTCCTTCCTGGCTACTCAAAGCGAGGTCTCTGGGCCGTCAACATCAGCATGACCAGGGAGCATGAGAGAAACGCTCCTCCCCAGATCCGCTCCATCAGAACCTGCATTTCAACAAGATCCCAGGTAATTCTTATGCATATTCAAGTTTGAGAAGCACTGCTCTGTACAACCAGATACAGCTGCAGGAATTTTATTTCTAAACAAAAGTCCCTGTTTGAGGACAACAGAATCATGAATGACCCTCAGTCACAGGGTAATCCAAGCTGTACACTGGAGGGGCAGCCCATGCCTAGGGCCCTATGTCACGGAGTCTCCTTGGTTGGCAGTGACCCATATGACCCTTCCCACTGGTCCCAGCTACTGGTCACTGGATCAGGATAGACACCCTGACTCAAACTGGGCCTCAGCCTAAGGCAGCAACGTACTCTCTGCCCTGAGGCCTTGTGGCTCTCAGGGGACTGTTTGCCCCTATACATGTGGAAAAGCAGAAAAGGCCAGTGCACAGGGAGAGAAAAAAGCAGATGCGCAAAAGCAAGAGTGTGTGGCCCCAGGAAATACATGGAACAGCGGCTTTGGCTCCGGCATGCCTCGCCGCTCTGACCCAGGCCCGGAAAGGTGATCACTGACCCCAATTGCCTGATATTCATCCAGTTCCTCCTCACAGAGTCCCCTTTTGGCTTAACCTTTCCTCTCTCCCTCCCTCCCCCTTCTGTCAGGCCTTCCTTCTTTCTTTCCTTCCTTCCCTTCTCTTTATTGAGGTGAAATTCACATAAAATGAAATTAACCATTTTAAAGTGAACATTTAGCACATTCACATTACTGTGCAGCCACCATCTCTATCTAGTCCCCAGACATTTTCATGACCCTGGAAGGAAACACTGTACCCATTAAGCAGTTTCTCCCCATTTCCCCTCCCCCCAGCCCTGGGACCCACCCATCTGCACCCTATCTCTGTGGATCTACCTATTCTGGACATTTCCTATAAGTGGGATCCTACAACACGTAATCTCTAGTGTCTGACTTCTTTCATCTAGATTTCTAGTTCCCGCAGTGAAAACGACCCCTAGGACAAGACACATGGGGGTGGGGCCCCGGCTCTCACCTCGTTGTCCCCCTCCATCCCGCTGCTCACACTGAGGAGACTCCGGGTGCTGGATCGGTTACTCGCGCTGCCTAAAGGGTGCAAACAAAATCAGCCGGACTGTGGATTCTCTCCAGCTACATTACAACACAGAACTCTAGCTAAGTGTCTATACCACTTCTCCTCTCTGCCAAGACCCACCTGAAAGATGAGCCGCCTGCCCCCTGCTTCCTCTGCCACCTGTGATCACTAGGAAAGATTCCCATTTCTGAACTTGTCAGAATTCTCTAAATTGCCTCAAGGCGGGAAGGGGTTGAATACACATTATCACCTGCATTATGTAAGGGGAGGTGTTCTCTGCCTAGTCTAGACTTCCCATGTGGTTGTGATATGATTTAGGTCTGTTTCAACAGATAATAGAGGCAGAGGGAAAAGCCGGGATCTACTCCCATTTTGTCACTGACTGGCTGTGGGAATTTGGGCAAAAATCTTACACTTTCTGGGTTACAAGTACTCCATTAGTAAAGTAAAGAGGGAGAATAGTTTAGAGGTTCTTGACCAAAATCCATGGATGGGCAAAACTGTGTGTGTGTGTGTATGTGTGTGTGTGTGTACACATGCACACGCATTTTTCTAGGAAGCACGTCCAGAGTATACATCAGGTTTGCAAAGCGGTTTGTGATACAGAAAAGATTAAGAACCCCTGGATTAGACTACCTTCCCGTTCCTACATCCACTTGGGGATCCTCTGCCTGACATTTAAGGAGACGTGAGTCCTGAAATTCAGCTTATCTCTTGCTCTTTTATTTCTCTCCTAGCTGTTTTGATAACACTAAAAATGTATGAAAGAAGGGAAACTTGATCTATTTGGCTTGTGAAGCCGGAGTGTCTGAAGTCAGCTACCACCGCCCTGGATCCGGATACAAAGCCCCAGCTCCTGCCTGCACATCAGTGTGTATTGTCTGCTGCAATCAGACTCCTATTCAAGCCTTCAAGCCAAAAGGAAGACATTTCCTAATTAGATCCTCAACGTCCCTATAAAGTTGGAATTCTCAAATCTGAGCCCACTGTTTTCTAATGTTTCTGACATTGTCCCTTTTCCTTCCCCTTATCACAGTTGAAGCAAAAAGAATAGTAGGTAAGAGTCTCGGTCCTGGATCCAGTCTGCCTGAGTTCAATCCCAGCGCCACCATTTATTAGCTATTTAACATAGAGGGAGGCACTAAGCCTCCGGTTTTCTCCTTGATAGATAGAGGTGATAGCAGCTATACCATAGAATGGCTGTGAGAATCAAATCAGAGAATCTGTGGAGGGGGCTTAACATATAGTCCAAATGCTAAACAAATGTTAACTACTATTATGATTAAGCTTTATCATTTATAAAAGTGATAGAGTGATAATTATCACACAATCTGGCCTCAAGGGATATTTGTGTACAGGATCTTTGACCCCCTGAAAAAAGGAGAACTTCACAGGCTAAGTGTCCCCATTTCTTACATCTCCCAAGCCCAAATCAGGCTCCAATGAAGATCTTCTGAGCTCATAATACAGCATGTTTCCAAAGCCCAGAGGCACCCACCGGAGTTCAGCTGTGAAGGCACCGGGGGGGTCACCTGCTTACTTGCAGTGCTGGAGGTACTGTCTGTTTTCCAGTCTCCTCGTCTTAGCTCTGTCCTTGGAGGGAAGACACTTCTCCTGGGGCCACTCTCATAGACTCCAAACTCCACTTTCCCAGGCAGGTGCTGTGAGTGCCGGATTGGGACTGTGATCTCCAAGTCTAGAATTAGAGAGAAAAGGGATAAGCTTTAAGGAATCGGATGCCATTTACCCAACTGCTGGGCTGCTCCTTCTCCGCCTGCCTCCTTCATCTGAACCTGGAGGGTGCCTGGAGGGGAGGGGAGAGGAGAGGAGGAGCAGAAGCAGAGCGGGGAGCGGGTGGGGATCCTGCTCAACAGCACTGAAGCGCCACAGAATCCTGCATGGCCATCACTGACAGAAGATTGGGATGAAGGAATGTGGAAAAGGGCAGAGAAATGCTTTCCCAGCAGGCAGCGGAAAGAAGGTGCAGTTAGGGAAACGCTTAGCACCCCAGCTCTGCCACTCTCTGGCTGTGGAGCCTGAGTCAGTCAGTCAAGCCCTCTGAATTACTTCCCCTTCTCAAGAGGGGTGATGAGCCCCATTGTCTGTAATAATAAGTTATCCTGTGCATCACGCAGAGCTCTAAAAGCTTCCATATTTTTAGCTCCTTGAATCCTCCCAACACCCATGAAATAAATACTATTGTCATCATTCCCAACAAAAACAAAGGTACAGAGATGTGAAGTAGCATGCCCCCATGTCCACATCGCACAACTGGTTAGTGGGCCAGCTGGGATTTGAACCCAGGCTCCAAAGTCCAGGCTCTTACCCGCTACTCAGACTGCTTCTCAATCCCTTCATAAATGACAGATGATGCTGTCACAACTGACAGCAATGACCCAGACGGTTCAGGAAAGGAGATCCATCAGACCCATGAAAGATTTTGTGACTTGCAAGTCTGGCCAGTGGTTTAAGGCCACACAGACTCAGAAAGACGGATTCTTCTTCTGCCTCTTTACTGGCTTAGCCTTGCCCAGTGGTTGGTCTTTCTTCCTCCCTAGATTTCTACCCCAGATGCTATGAGGCAGGGCCTCTGGGAAGAGGTAGAAGCTCAGGTGTACTTGGGGGAACGTGTGCTCTTATTTCTGGGGAGCCACTTCCTCCATCACCTCCCCTTCGCTCAGGTGCAGCAGGAAGTTCAGGGAGCGCAGCGGCAAGGTGGCTCCGCTTGCCAAAGCCAGAATCCTGCCAAGGAGGGCGAATGGGTAAACTAGAACAGAATGAAAGAGCAAGTGTGAGGGCAGGGCAGATCGAGTGCACAGAGGATTTTAAAAGGGTGGACTATTGGTTTGCACGGGCTCTAGCTTTCCTGGTCTTAGACACTCTAGTTCCAAGGGTGGTGGCTGTTCCAAGTACTAACACAGCTCTCCAGGTCTCTGTCTAACAGAGGTCTTTTTCGTGTCCAACACAGATCTTTTACACATCCTTGGGCTCTCTTGGTTACAACTGAGCAGTGGAAACACCTGCCCAAGTTTGGAAGTACTCGGGCAGAGACTAGCCGGTGTCCCGCACGTGGGTGTGAGCCCACGGTGTCTCAGAGCCCAAACAGGTGACACACTTCTCACCTCACCCCCAGCTTTGACCTAGCTGTTTAACAACAACCTTTGAAAGGGAGGTTCCCACCTGCTTAATTCACTTCAATGAGGCAATTTTTGACTCTCCACCAGTTTGAGAAGGAAGGAAAGTAAAATACACAGGGAAAAAAGTTGGAAGTCGAACATTCAAAAAATCAAGTAGAGCCAGTGTAAGTGTCCACAAAATCCTGATATTCTTTGGATAGAGGAACAGTGCCAGGAAGAATAATTACCATCGTTCTATCGTGTAGCACTTTTCCCAAAGTGCACTCACATGTGTGGTTATCCCTCCTTTGAAGTTGGCTCCTCCGTTAAGCAGGTGAGTCACATGTAACCACAGATGAGGAAACTGAGGCACAGAGTGGTTAAAAGTCCTGGGTCATGAAGGGATTCAGTGACAAAGCAGGGATCAGAACCCAGGTTTCCTGGGACCCAGCCTGCTCCTCCTGGTCCTGCCCTGCACTGGTCACAGACACGTCCAGAACACAAACACTGATATTTTTCTCTGTGGGGCCGGGGCGTTCAGCAAGTCACGAGTCAGGCCAGCCCTGCTGATTTCCTACAGTGTCAGCTCTCTGCACTACCCCAGGGAGAGCAAAACAGCTCCTAGGGCTGAAGAAAGACTGGCAAGTTATTACAAACAGACTCTTACTTTTTAATCGTCCTGGTTCTTTTAACTCAAATTAAAGAAAAATACTCATTGTTTTTCTTTTCTAAGGCAAATGAGGTTTCCAAATGAATAGAGTCAGTCCTTGAGTAGAGTGGTCGCCATTCCTGGAAAAGGTCCTTTAGCAGAAACGCCATTCATCAACCCTCATTTTCCTTTAGGTCAATGTTATCCTGTGTCAATCGCTTTCAAATTTTGTGTGTGTGTGTGTGTGTGTGTGTGTGAAGCAGAATTCTTTCCTCTAGAGAAAACAGCAGCTCAATGTGGAAAACAGATTTTTTTTTTTTAAGGGAGCTGCAATGGTTGCAGCAGAATAAGCAGACCCAAACCCTGTTCCAATCCATCCTCGACTCACCCCCAGTTCCTACCCTTCCCTCACAAGCACGGATGCAGCAGCACCGGGCCCATCTTTGTGAAAATCCCTGGAACAGGCAATTACAAGCTAGAATGTCACTAAATATATAATCGAATTTTATGCAATTATCTAGTATATCACATTTACTCAACCTTCATTAATGATGCCTTCTCTTTGGCTCTGATGCCCTTGGGCCTCACCATGCAGTACAGGGTCCAACTTCCAACTGCCCGAACTTTTTCTGGTAGCCAGATTACAAGCACTCCTTCCCTGGCAGGCCTCAACCCAAGACATAGGAGCTGGCGTCTAAATGCCCCTTGGGAGGGATAACTCTTCCAGGGTATTCTCCATCGACTCCCAGCATCTCTGGGGAGATGAAGTGCTAACTGCATGCTGCTAGCTGCCTTCCCTTCCTCTCTCACTTCCCCACCCTCCACTGGGCTCCCTGGGAAATCCCACATCAGCGACTTGCACTCAAATCCTTGTCAGGGAAGAAACAGACAGCGTTCACGGCTGCACAATATTGTGAAGGTACTTACTGCTACCAACTTGTACACCGAGGTGCAAAGGGTCGATTTTGCGTAATGTATATTTTACCACAATAGAAAACATAAATGAAGGGAGACTCTTGGTGCTGCTGGATAGAGCATTCTCCCCATGTGGACTGCTTGTGGTCCCCAGCCATTCTTGTTCAGTGTCAAATCAGACAGTTTAAACTTTTACTAGTTAGGACGTTAGTAAAAGTCCCTTGTGTAAAAAGTAAAAAATACTTAACCCTTCCTGCCTTCCCCCCTACCCAAATCCTAGTCAGAGAGTCTGCTTCTTGAGGAACAGGGTGGCAGGGGCGGGAGGGCACCTGACTCATGCTCCTTTGAAAACACTTAGACATTGACCATTCTAATTTAGACTAGAGCTGCTGGTGGGTATCAGTTATTCAGAGCTAGAGTAGCCTTGGGTGAACTTTGTATAATGTCTTAAAAGCCATGATTCCGGACCTGGCCCCTGGGTGGTGAGTCCCAGCCCAGCGCACTTTCCCTGGAGGCCCTGCCTGAGAGGATGCCAGCCAGTGCGCAGGCGGTGTTTAAGGTGCTCTGTGTGCCAGGACCCCAGTGATATCCTAACTCATCTAGTCTCTGCAGCAACCCTACTGGGTGGGCGCTTTTATTAGTGCCATTTTGCAGACGAGGACTGGGGCTCAGGGAGGTGAAGTACCTTGCCCATGGTTCCCAGCTAGTTAGAGGTGAACAGAGAGCAGGAACTTGACTTCAGTCCTGCTGGCCCCCAGACTGAAGCCTGCTCCTCAGTATGCGTGTCTGTCTTGCTTGAGTATCTGCAGTGGCCCCAGATGGAGCCTGGGTGGGTGGCCCAGGTGTGGTGACACCAGTAGCTTGGTTCTGGAGCCCAGACGGCCGAGCACACAGGACTCCCACGCTGTGACTCCCCAGCCTTTAAGCACTGCTTGCTCCACCAAATTGCAGCTTTCTTGATGATGAGTATATTTAAAAGCTTGAAATGTCCCATGTAAACCAAGGCTTCTTTCCATCTTTGAGTTCATGTGCTCTAGTTTTAAAAAGCACCTCAGCCCGTCTACCACCTGGAGCCCTACTGTCTGACCCTAGGATAACTGTGCAGTTCTTAAACCAGATTTTCTGCCTTCTCTCCTTTCTCCTTCTCTCAATCCGGAGGCAGACAAGTAAGAGCGTGGCTAGTGGCAGCATACATTTAAAACCTAGTCACCCAAGCAGGTGCCTGAGGATGACCCCTCTGACCTTCTGCCATGGTTTTAGCCCCTTTACTCCTCTTCTTCCAAGTTGTCAAAATCTTTAATATTCTCTAGCTAGTACTGTACTGTATGCAAAACACTACGCTAGGCATTGTGGGACAGGCTCTAGCAGAGAATACCAGACCTACACAAATAAAAGATTAGCTCAAAAGCTACCAGATGGTAAAGATCATGTATTATGGGTCTATTTGGCTGGATGCCTGGTGCTCAGTAAGTGTTTATGGAATGGGTGAATGGTGTCACCAAACATTTTACTCAAATCAACCATTCCAACAAAGATCTACTAAGTTCCACCAATGTCCTGTGCTACACACTGGGGATTCAACAGAGCACAAAACAGACAAGTTCTTTCCCTCACAGACCTTATAGTAGGTATGAGGAAGGGGTGGAAAATAACCATAAGGACAGAAGCATAAGATAATTCCAGTCTATGATTTGTGAGAAGAGGGTGAGCAATGGCATAGGAAGTGAGTCGTGGAGGGCTGCTCTGGAGAGAATGGCAGAGAAGGTATCTCTGAAGGATGAAAAAGAGCCTGTGGGGAATGATATGGGAAAAGAAGTCTTGGGGGGGGTGTGGGACAGCAAGTGCAAAGTCCCTGGAGAGAATGCTTCTGGCTTGATAGAGTAACAAAAGGGAGTCCACTGAGATTAGAGCATGGGGTGTGGGGGTAAGTGGAGGATGAGCTCAGGGGTAAGATCATGGAGGGCCTGTAGGCCATAGTGAGGAGTGGGATTTAGTCTGGGTGGGACAAGAGCAAGGGAGTGGCATCTGATTCCTTATTTTTAAAGGTCATTTGCTATGATTTGTAGGACTATGTAGAGGAGTAATAATGGACAACTGAAGAGGCTGCTGCATTAATTCAGGAAGAGATGATGGTGTGCATGCAGTTAGATGCAGTTGTGGCATGGAAAGTGGTCAGAAATGATCAGATTTAACATGTAGTTTGGAGGCAGAACTTTTGGGAATTGCTGATGGCTTGAAGGAATGAAGTAGCAACAATCAGAGGCAGCAAAAGAGAAGTGCCAGATGAATGGAAGGGATAGTAGGTTCTAATGATGCTCAGATGAAGAAGGAGTACAATGGCCAGGAGTGGTCCAGGAAGGCTTCACTGAGAAGGGGCTGCCAGGGCTGGATCTTGCAGCCCAGTAGGCTCATACAAGTGAGGAGGAAGAGGCATAAGCAAGGGGCCTGTGGCAGGAAGATTTCCTGTTTGAAGACGAGGCTGTTACCAGCCAGACCAGGTTCGTGGGAAATCAGGCTGTTGATGGCAGCTGGAGACAGACTACAGAAGTTATGCACAGACTTAGTTCTTTATGTAATGGGGCTCCATTCAAGAGCTGAGTTTCTCTGAAAGCCTTTTCTTGCCAGCTCCTCTTGGTATAAGCCTGGCCAGTGTAAATCACAGAGACCCACCATGTCAGAGGCTCTCAGAACGAATATGTAGTGTGGGCAAATGCCCACTCCTTGCTCGGGGGTGGTGGTGCCAGGTGAGTAGTACCTAGGGGAGGGTGGGTCAAGGGGAATACAGGGGTCTGGTCCTCAGTATGCACAACTGGAATCCATGGCCCTGCTATTGGACCCCACTACTCACGGCAGGAGCCCTGCTGCACCTGAGACCAGGCTTCTAAAGCAGTATATGCTGTGGACACCAATGACACAGTTTCCTGCTTGAGTCAGAAACAGACACTATGTGAATGGGATTTTCTCCTTTGTCTGCTCAAAAAAAGCATTTTCCTAAACACCAAGAGGAGAGTCAGGTGCCTGGGGAGAAAGCATTATCATCCTCTTTGAATAGGGGTCAGGGTGGAGAGCTGCAGAGTTCAAGCCATCCATTCATTCATCTGCTGACATGCCTCATGCGCCAGTTTCTAGGTACACAGAATTAACAAGACAGAGTCATTGCCCCAGAGGACCTCATACCCTTGTGGGGGACTCAGATCTGTAAACACGGTGACAGGTGCTGGGCAAGCAGTCTGCCCACTTGGGCCCCAGCAGAAAGGACAGTCAAGGAAACAGACCAGCGAAGCCCCTCACCGTGCAGCACCCCCAGGGAGCCACATACCTGTCTGCTTTCCTGATTTTTGCTTCTCTCTCTGTCTTCGCGTGATGCTATCTCTCAGCCGTTTAAGATTTTCCTGGAAAAAAAAATTAGTTTATTTTTAAAGTATACACCAGAATTGTACCCTCTGGGCATTAGAGTTTCTTTCTAATTTTATGCTATTTGCAAGATATATCACATTGCAATAGCATTTCCAACATGCAAATGAGGTTGAGTGCATTTGCAATCGGCCCCCAGAGAAATCCACATCCTTTTAGACGCTGTGCCTGAAGAGAAGATACCCTGTCCACAACAAAGTATCTCCCCTCCTCTCTGGTTCCCAGCTCCTTCTCAGTCTTATAAACCCATCACCCTTCTTACACATCCCTCAGCCAAGCCAGCCTCTTACCTGCTCACAAACTCTCTACCCACTTTTCTGACTCTAAGATTGTGTCTTCACACCGTTCCCCTGACCCCGAGGAACACTGATTCCATGACTCTGTCTGTTCCAAGCATAGGTCACCTTCTAAGCTCCCCGAGATTGCTCCAGTCCTTAGTGCTGCCCATGCCATCTGGCACTGGGCTATGCTGCCTTGTCCTCTGTGTGTGCGTGTGTGGGTATTGTCTCTTTGGAGGTACTGTGAACTCTCGATGGGCGAGAGGCCAGGTCTTGTACTTTTCTGTAATTCTGCAGTCTTCTCTATTGTGTTCATTCAATAAATGTTGAACAGACATGTGAGGGTGGAAATTTGTTGCTATTTTAGTCAATAAACAGCAACCATCTTGAAGTTAAGTGTCTGAGCTGTCTAGGGAAATGCCCCAGAGACTAACATCCAGACCACCGGGTTGGAGCAGAAGGTTTCCACGAGGGAGCCACGGAGGCAGGACTGAAAGGTTGGTTGGGTTGTGACTGCAGCTGAGAGACTGAGCTTGGTCCAGGAAGCAGCAGGGAAACACTGGAAATTGTGGGCTGGCCATAGCTTTAAGGTCTGGCAGAGAGGAAGGAAAGGAGTTGGAGGCAAGGAGACCCACCTGGAGATGATGTGATAGGGCAGATGCAGGCAAAACAAGCCAGCATGGGATGTGGCTGGGAATGCAAAGAAAGGAGCAGAGGCAAGACGAAGAATGTGACAGAGCAAGACATGCAGCTGGCTGGATATAGGGGAGTGTGGAAGGGCCCAAGAGATTCTGAGGTCTGCACCTCAGCCTCTGGAAGGTAACAGTGCAATGAACAGAAACATGGAGCCAGGAAAGGGAAGCAGCCTTGAGGGATGGTTTGTTGTTGGACGTGCCACAGGTTACGTCTAGGGCACCTCGGGGAAGTGCTCAGCTGGTGGCTGGAAAGGTGTTACTGGAGACAGACATAAGAGACACCTGCACTGAGAAGGGAACCTGGATGGAGCCTGCTGGTGGGAGGGAGAAGTGAAGGAGTCAGTGGGGTTGACAGAGAGTGGAGAAAAGGATGACAGGGCAGTCCAGGAATGGTCTTCACACCCTCCAGTCCCTGGATGGAGGGGAGGGCACTCCAGAAGTACCAGGAGGCTGTCAGAGCACGGAGTAGTCTCAGCTCCCAGGACTGGGATTCTCTGCCATGTCTAACATGAATCCAGTCATCTGCTACACACAAGAGTTCAGGCAAGTTCATGGGAAGGCAAGAAGCCTCCTGGATGTGGATAAAGAAAGATAGCTGGCATTTGTTATATATTTACTATGTGCCGGGCATGCTAATAGCTTCACATGGTTTACATCATCTAGTCCTCTCCCTTCAGATTTCAGAGATGGGAACACGGAGGTACAGAGAGGCCAAGGTTATCCAGCCCCAATAGGCAGAACAAGGCTGAACTCAGGCTGCCTGGCTCTGGAGCTGGGGCTGCTCCAAAAGACCTGCCACGTGGCACCAACTTGGCAAGGAGAAAGAAACTCTGTATTTGCCTAGGACCAGCCTGTTCCTAGCAGCACTGCAGCCTGGGTCTCCCCAGTGAGGAAGACGCTGGGTTCCTGCGTTCAAACCCCTAGAGGGAGGGAGGTAGCCCGCAGAGCAAGTGACCCTGTTTAGGAAGCACTCAGTAGGCAGATGATGTGGTGAAGAGAGCCTAGCCTCTGGAGTGAGAAAGGGATCATGAGAATCCTGACTCTGCCTCTTCACCTCTCTGAGCCTCAGTTGTCTATAAAATGGGAGCAATGACACATTTCACGTGCATGCTGTGAGGGGCGGAGGAGAGTAGGTCAACTCAGACCTTAGCACAGTGCCCCAGACTGTTGTCAGAGCTGGACAAATGCTGCTTTAGGACTCACATCCCCACTTCTCACTGTATGGGGTTGTATATCCTTGTGTAAATAGCAAGAGTCTCCTCTCACAGCCCAGCCCTGCAATCCAGCCTCCTCCTGAGCTGGAACTGCTGGGATGGGCACGAGGTGGCCCTTCCCGGATCTTTGCCTTGTGTTTGCACACATGCCTACGGAGTTTGTGTGTGTGTGTGAGTGTGCTTTTTTTTTTAAGTATATTAGAGCAGTCTTTATATTTTATTTATTTTTAATGGAGGTACTGGGGATTGAACCCAGGATCTCGTGTGTGCTAAGCATGCACTCTACTACTGAGCTATGACCTCCACGCAAGTGTGTTTAACTTGGGTAGTTTTATGTCTGCTACTTGTTTTGTTCACTTAATCATATTTCTTGGGAGCTGTCCAAGTTCTCTTTGAGTTCTAAAGTGTGATAGTTCTGTGGGAGTGTTGGCACTATGAGCAGAGAGAGGGCCTCTGAAAAGAAAAAAGCTGGAAAGCAAAAGTATAGGGCCACACACAGAGGAAGCGGCAGGCGCAGAATTACAGTTTACAGCTGAGTTTTGGTTCCTGCTCTGTAGCCACATAACACCAGGAAAAGCCATCCAGCCTCAGCCAGGGAGCCATGTGGTTACAAACTGCGGCTGACAGATACACATACGCACTGACTCACCAGGACACTCAAACAAGCAGCCGCAGGTGTGCAGTTACCACAATACACAGGACAGCCATGGACTCGGCTCTCCTCCACTGCCTAGCAGAGAAACAGATGTGAACCTAATTCCACCCAGAGCCAGTTACCTGCTGGAAGCGAAAGGATTCAGACCGCTTCTTCTGGTTGAGCTGCCACTCTTTGAAGTGCAGCACGGCCTCATCCACGTTGACGATGCCCAGCTTCACCTGCTCCTGGAGGGTAATGAGCTGCCGCTGGCCGGGTGTTTTCATCCCAGCAAAAGGGTCATATACACTCGACTGAGGCCTGTCCCTCCACGGTCTGACAGGTGGCTCTGGAAAGGATGGTGAAACTCAGCTTGATAGCTCCCTCACTGGGGAGAGCTGACCGGGTGAGTAGTGTTAATGAGGCTTAACGGGCTCAAGAGGACGTGTCTCAAAAGAACAATTACACGTGGAACCAAGAAGGGGGAGGTATGACGTGGAGTCAAGGAGAGGGAAGCAGCTAGTAATTTCAAAGCCTGTTGCACTAAAGTAGATGAGGCCGCAACATTTTAGGGAGGTGTGGCGTCCACTGGATGAGTCAACAGAATCCCCCAAGCCTGAATTACTGGAGTGATTCAGAGAGTAATTTAGAGCAGTGTTTCTTAACTGCGGCATTATTGACAATCTGGACCGGATAATTCTTTGTTGTTGCGGAGGCGGCTGTCTTGTGCACTGTAGGATGTTTAGCCTCATCCTTGGCCTCTACCCACTAGGTGCCAATAGCTTCCACTTCCTTGGTTGTGACAACAAAAAATGTCCCAAATATTGCCAAACGACCTCTGGCAGGGTGAGGAGTGCGGTGGAGGAGAAATCACCGCCAGTTGAGAACCACTGCTTTAGACTAAACTCCACTCCCAAAAGAGAACATACAGGAACGCCTAACCAGGATGCTTCTCCCAGCACCACTTCCAGCCCTTCCCATCTTAGCAGCATGGGGCACAATGATTATGGACCCATGGGCACGAGATCCCAGAGAAGACTGAAATGCTAATGGGATCATGACCCAGGTCCAATGTCACCAGGTATAAATTACCTGCTGGGACCCAACTGGCTCTTCTTGGATTGTTCCCGTGCCAACCTCTCCTCCCAACAAAAAATGTATAGTTCCCTGCTTTGGAGAGTCTAGGTAAATATGAAACCAACCCCTCTTGCTCAGGCTGTGACTTCACTAAGTTCTGCGGGGAACAAGCTACCTGCAGAGGTGATGGAGCCACTGGGGCATGTGAAACCAACTTGACGTTCTACTGCTCATTTCCTTTAGGGCTACCTTTGATTCTAAATTTCTCCAGCAGGTCCCCATTTGGGCATTGCGATTCAGAGAGGTGACATTAAGGAAAAAGAGATGACTTCACCCATATTGAAAAAACTTCCAAGAAGCTTATCTATCATTCTTACCAACCATTCACTCATCTGTCTACATACACTCACACACCTTTCTCCCACATTTGCCCTTTTCAAGGCTGTCTTTAATTGTATTGGGAGATGGAACGTGAGGAGGAAAAAAAATGCACAAGCCAACCAGATCCAATCTCCTATTGCTGGAGTCCATGGGGATGTTTTCAAATGTTTAGATGGTGTCATGATTCCTTTTCAAAAGAATCACCAATGGGATAATACTGACTGCCTCTGTTTGGCACAAAGAAATTAATGAAGAATAAAAAATCACTTATCTCTTCAAACTTCCTTAAAAGATCTTTTGAAAAAAAGAAAAATGTTACCTAATGGTAAGCAAAATGTCTCTCAAATACAGTTGAATTAAACTATGCTCCAGCTAATACAGGTAGGGTAAGTTAACAGCACGGTAGGGCTAAATCTACCAGGTAAAGACTGGATGCTGGGCCGCCCACTCTTATCCGATGGCATCAGTCTCAATGTTTAAACTGTACTTTTGTTTGTTATTATAGACACCTTCTGGCGCAGTAATATTATTGGTATAATCAATTTGTGCAACTTTCTAAAGCACCCCAATCTCCTCTCCCTTTACCATCAGAACAGTTCTACCTAAGGTATCACTTGAACCTCTCTGTTTTTCAATGCCAAGGAGCTGTTACACCTGAAAATTACTGAAATGTAAACACTTCAACCACCTAGAAGTCCAGGTTATACGAAAGGAAGCTAAGGACATCTGGCTTACCTTTCCGGAGGCTTTCTGAAGAAACATATAAATTCCCAGGCCGCTCTTGGCTTTTTTCTGCAAAAACTAAGAGATAAAGAATAATCTAAGTAAAGCAAAATCAGATATTTGGTAATCTGATTTACAGCCTTTCTAAAAGGCCTTGTAATATTTTATACATTTACCAGAAAAAAGTTCACCAAAATCTTGTGCCAAAAAAAATAATAATAGGTCACATCTTACTTGTACCACTATACACAGTTTTATAAACCAAAACTCTAGAAGGAGGCAACTAATGAGCAGAAGCAATAGAAATTATGAAATGAAGACAGATCATACAGACAAAGTCTCAAACCAGAAAGACAAAGTCAGCCAGAGGACATGATCAGCATTTAAGAGATCATTAAAGAAAGGGGTACTGTGAACAAGGACGTGTGCTGGATCCCTGAATACCTGAAGCGAGCCACGGAAGGCCCTGAAGTTTGAGAATAAAAGGAAGTGCCACTTAGCATATCAGCAAGTGTCCTAAGACAGAACTCGGAGCAGTGGAGCAGGTAAAATGTGTACACAACTCTAAAGGGACTTGGATAAAGTCACCGATGCGCAGTGGACCCATAAAGGCTCATAGGAAAGCTGGAAATTGACAAACGTTCACTTAGTGGTGGTACTGCATGGTGGTTATGGTTCCCAGGGCTCTGCACGTGACTTTGGGATTCAAATTCTGGCTCTGCCACTTATGAGCCATATAATCTTGGATAAGATGCTTGACTTCTCCTGGCCTCAGTTTTTTGATCTGTAGAATGAGGATGATAATTGTACCTTCTTCACTGGGCTGTAGTGGGGATTACATGAGTTAATACCTGGAAAGTGCTTAGAACAGTGTCTGGCACATGTAAGCGCTCCATGTTAGATTTCCTTAACATTATTCACATCTAAACCCTGAGATTGATGCCAATAGGTCAGCAATATCTTGGCATGCTAGTTAATATAAGTGATGTCTCTACAGTTTTTTTTATAGTTTATAAAATAGTTTCCTATACATTATTTCATCTGACCTTCATGATAAGGCTCTGGCAGAGTATTATTATACATCAATGTACACATATATTATTATGATACCCATATTATAGATGAGGAAACTGAAGTTAAAGAGGGTCAAATTATTTACCTAATGTCCCATACTTTACAGTTGAAAAATATAAGAGTTAGGACTTGAACTAAGGTATTCTAGCCTCCAAATCACTGCCTTTTTTGTTATCTTCTGCTTCTCTCCTGTCCTTTGCTTCCCCACAGTTTCCTAGCAAGTCCAACAGGGCTCTTTAGGAATCACCTGTCCCAACTGCTTCCCCACCATAAGCTAGGCCATCAACACCCTCTCCCCACCTCCTGCCATTTAGGCATTATCAGTATATATTTCAATGCTTATTAATTTGGGTTCCCTTAGAAGGAGACCTGGGGACAAGGATCCAAGTACAAGTAGTCAATGTGGGCGGTGATGGAAATGACAGGGAAGTGGATACAGCAATAAAACAGTGGGTTATCGAGTGAATCACCATGGTGGGCAAGCTGGGGGGCTCTGGAAAACAATGCAGAACATGCACTTTGGTGTTCTCCCAGTAGAGGGGTCAGTAAGCTAGGGTAGTCAGCCACCAACCCCATTCTGTCAGCAGCTGGTAGGGGGGTGTCCAAAAGTGACAATTCCCCAACTCTTCCAGCCTGTCCTGTAAGAGGGCAAGGGAGGCTCTGGTTGCTAGAGGAAGTCATTAGGCTAAGACACAGGTTCTGACAGGCAGGGTCCAGCCAGTAGGCACAGAAACGTAAAGAGCTAGAGGTGTGTGGGTGGGGCACCAACAGTGTCTGCTACACACACCAAAGGAGATGTTGCCCAAGGGATGGCAAACCACGAGCACTGACGGCATTCGGCCATACATAATATTCCTCAACTGTATTTCTACCCAGTTGAGGGTTGCCAGATTTAACAAAGCAAAACCAAAAGCAAAAAAGAGTGCAATGTTTGGGGCTTACACTAAAAAATTATTTGCTGTTTGTCTGAAATTCATACTTACTGTACTTTATCTGACAACTCTAGCCCTGTTACCTCTGCAGCTCTGATTGAGGGCTGCCTTCTCCAGTTCATGATCTTTTGCCACATCTTCCACAACCTGCTTACACTATTAAAAATGAAATGGAGGTCATGTGCACAAATCTGGCAAGTCTCATACTCTTAAACTACTTATAATCATATTAATAAAATCAAGTCCTAGAAGATAGTGAAACTGACAATGCTAGAAGCATCAAATGTCCCAGGGATCATTATGAAGAAGTCAAAACCCAATTCTCACCAATCTGTATCAATGTAGGTAGGTAGATAGCCCAGTATGGTGCCTGAAAGCCAGGGTTGTGGGAGTCAGACTCCCTGAGTTCAAATTCCAGCTCTCCTAATGTGGTCATCATTAGACCTCTGTAAGCCTCCATTTTCCTCATCCATAAAAAGGGGATGATAATGGCCCTTACCTAACAGATTATTGTAAAGATTAAATGACATGTTCTAGATAGGGTACTCTGGGTAGATTTCAATAAATGTTAGCTATTAAAATTTACTAACAAGAAGAAGAGGAGGAAGAAGAGTTTCAGGAGATAAAATTTATCAGTGCTTTTACCATTTGGAGTAGAGGAAAATCTTGTTTACCTCTGTCTTCATACTGTGCATGAATGCCTCCAGGAAGGCCAGAAAACTGAATCTGATCACTGCCCCTAGCCTAGCTCCAGAATCAGCCCCAAGCTCTGACTCTGTCCCTTGCAGCTGGTTGAAGACCATTCGGAAGGGGACGGTCTCTGAGCAGTGGTTCAGAAGGTAGAGGATCCAGGGAATTCCTGCTGGGAGGCTCTGAAGACCCCACTGGGCATCATTTCCTGCCATACTTGCCTTTAGAAATGTATGGTTCATTGTCAGACAGGTGGTGAGTACCAGAAGCACTGGCCTCTGGCCTGGGCACTGGGACAGGGGGCCTGCTGGCCAGGTCCACAGAAAAGGCCTCATCATCATCCACTGTGTGGTAAACATCTTCCTCCTCCTGACCAAGACGGTGCGTGTCCCTCTCCAAACTGGCCATTCCTATGGTGTTGCCTAGAAACATAGAAAAAGGTGACTGAAAGTAATTGCCAAACCCTGTGGCCCGCTGGGCCCCACAACCAACCACCCCAAGCCCCAGCCCCACCCATCAGTGGCTGGCAGCCTCCGCTTGAGACAGGGCCTGGTAGGGCCAGCCCCACCTACCAGCATGCCCACAGTGGTTGGCCTCATCACAAAAGAAGGGCCCACCTAGCCCACATAGGGGGCAATACTAGAGCATATAGCTCTTGTGACCAGAGAGGAATGTGCTACTGGGCCCCAGAGGACGTCTTCTACATAAAGTTCTTCTCTAAGATTAGAAAATACAATCAACCTATCTAACATATAAATATAAAAACAGAATTAGGCAAAATCAGAGACAGAAAAATATGTCCCAATTGAAAGAACAAGATAAAACCCCAGAAGAAGAATTAAGTGAAATAGAGGTCAGCAATCTATCTGACAAAGAGCTCAAGGTAATGATCAAAAAGATGCTCAATGAACTCTGGAGAAGAACAGATGAACACAGTGAGAAGCTTAACAAAAAGTTAGAAAATATAAAGAGGAATAAACAGAGTTGAAGAATACAGTAACTGAAATTTAAATCATACACAAGAAGGAATCAACAGTATATCAGATGATACAGAGAAACAGATCAGCGAACTAGGAGACAGAGTAGTGGAAATCAGTTAACCAAACAGAAAAAAGAAAAAACTATTATAAAATATTAGAACAATTTACAAGGCCTTTAGTACAACATCAAGCATACTAACATTCACATTATAGGAGTCCCAGAAGGAGAAAAGAGATCAAAAGGGGCAGAGGACATATTTGAATAAATAATAGCTGAAAACGAGATCCACACCAAGACATACTGTAATTAAAATGACAAACATTAAAAATAAAGAGAGAATCTTAAAAGCAGCAAGGGAAAAGCAAGTAGTTACAATTATATACAAGGGAACTCCTATAAGACTATCAGCTGACTTTTCAGCAGAAACTTTGCAGGCCATAAGGGAGTGATACCACACATTTAAAGTGATTTTTTAAAAAAAACTACAGCCAAGAATATTCTACCTGGCAAGGCTATCATTTGAGATTTGAAGGAGAGATAAAGAGTTTAATAAACAAGCAAATGCTAAATGAGTTTAGCATCACTAAAGTGACTTTATAGAAAATGTTAAGGGGAATTCTTTAAGCTGAGAAAAAGCACAACTAGAAATATGAAAATTAAGAAGGAAAAATCTCATAGGTAAAGGCAATTATACAACAAAGACAATGGACCAACCACTTATAAAGCTAGAAGGAAGGTTAAAAGACAAAGGTAGTAAAATTATCTATATCCGCAATAAATAGTGAAGGGATACAGAGAACAAAAAGATGTGAAATATGAAGTCAAAACATTAAATATGAAGGTGGATAAAAATGCAGGGTTGTTAGAATATATTTGAACTTAAGAGATCAAGCTTAAAATATATATGTATATATTATACACACACACACACACACACACACACACACACGTGTGGTTATATATAAGCCTCATGGTAACCACAAAACAAAAATCTATAACAGATATATACACAAAAAGAGAAAGAGATCCAAATATAATACTAAAGATAGTCATCAAACCACAAAAGATAAGAACAAAAGAAGAAAAGAATAAGAAAGAACTATAAAAACTCCAGAAAATAATTAGCAAAATTTCAATAAGTATATGCCTATCAATAATTACTTTAAACGTAAATGGACTAACTGCTCCAACCAAAAGACATAGAGTAGCTGAATGGATAAAAAAACAAGACCCCCTTCAGATCTAAAGAGACACACAGACTGAAAGTGAGGGGATGAAAAAAAAAGTATTCAATGCAAATGGAAATCACAAGAAAGCCAGGGTAGCAATACTTAGACAAAATAGACTTTAAAACAAAAACTGTGACAGAGACAAAGAAGGACAATGCATAATGATAAAAAATGATCAATCCCACAATAAGATATAACAATTGTAAATACATATGCACCCAACATAGGAGCACCTACATACATGTAGCAAATATTAGTAAACATGAAGGGAGAAATTTACTGTGATACAATAGTAGTAGGGGACTTTAATACACCACTTACATCAAGGGACAGATAAAAAAATCAGTAAGAAAACACTGGCCTTAAATGATACATTAGACCAGATAGACTCAATAGATACATATATAAGAATATTGCATCCCAAAACAACAGCATACACATTCTTGTCAAGTACACATGGAACATTCTCCAGGGTAGATCATGGGCTAGGCCACAAAACAAGTCTAAATTAAAGAAGACGGAAATTGTATCAAGCATTTTTTCTAATCACAACAACATGAGACTAGGAATCAGCTACAAGTTAAAAAAAAAAACTACAAGAACACAAATACATGGAGGCTAAACAAAATGCTACTAAACAGCCAATGGGTCACTGAAGAAATCAAAGGGGAAATTTAAAAAATACCTGAAGGCAAATGAACATGGAAACACAACAATCCAAACTCCATGAGACTTATAAAAAGCAGTTCTAAGAGTGAAGTTACAAGCCTACTTCAGGGAACAAGAAAAATATCAAATAAACAACTTAACCTTATACCTAAAAGAATTTTAAAAAAAAGCCAAACAAAACAAAACAAAAAATAAAGTTAGAAGAAGAAAAGAAACAATAAATATCAGAGCAAAAATAAATGAAATAGAGACTCAAAAACAATAGAGATCAATGAAGCTAAGAGCTGGTCCTTTGAAAAGTTAAACAAAACTGATAAACCTTTAACTAGACTCATCAAGGAAAAAGAGAGAGTGAGCGAGAAGGCCCAAATAAATAAAATCAGAAATGAAAGCAGAGAAGTTACAACTGACACCACAGAAACACAAAGGATTACAAAATGGACAGAGGACCTGAATAGACATTTTTCCAAAGAATACACATGGATGCCAAACAGACACATGAAAAGATGTTCAACATCACTAATCATCAGGGAAATCAAAAGCACAAGGAGGTATCACACCTGTCAGAATGGCTGTTATATAAAAGACAACAAATAACAAGTGTTGGCAAGGATGTGGAGAAAAGGGAATCTTGGTGCACTGTTGGTGGGAATGTGTATTGGTTCAGACACTATGGAAAACAGCATGGAGTTTCCTCAAAAGATTAATAATAGAATTGTCATATGATCCAGCAGTTCCACTTTTGGGTATTTATGAGAAGAAAACAAAAACACTAATTCAAAAAGATATGTGCACCCCAATAGTTACTACAGCAGTATATACAATAGCCAAGATACAGAAGCAACTTAAGTGGCCATTGATAGATGAATGAATAAAGAAGATGTGGCATATATACACAATGGAATATTACCCAGACATAAAAAAGAAAGAAATCTTGCCATTTGTGAAAACATAGAGGGACCCAGAGGGTATTACTGCTTGGTGAAATAAGTCAGACAGAGAAAGATAAATATAGTATGATTTCACCTATATGTGGAATCTAAAAAGCAAAACAAATGAACAAACATAACAAAACAGAAACATAGTACAGAGAACAAACAGGTGGTTGCCAGAGGGGAGGTGGGTAGGGGGATGAAAAGGAAAAAAAAGGTAACTATGTGAAGTATGAATACTAATTAGCTTTATTGTGATGATCACTTTGCAATGTATATTTATATGAAATTATCAATTATATACCTTAAATATGTGTAATTTTTGTTATTTATACCTCAATAAAGCTCAAAAAATATTTTTTAAAAAAAGAAAGCAGTGGCCCAATGAGCTGGGTGATTGTTAGTCATTGAGCAAAGAGAGCAACCACACCTTAATTGAACAGTACTGCCCTTTGGCAAAGGGCTTTCCCCTTTATCATCTCCTGTAGGATCCACTCAGAAACCCATGTAAAGCAACTAAGAAAACACTGATATCACCTTCATTTGCCACCCGTCGGTGCAGGAAAAGGAAGTGAGCGCTAGGCTCTGTCATCTCAATTTTACATCTGGGATTCAGTTATACATCTCATTAGGACTAGGGAAAAGAGAGCACAGCCCCCAAAGCTGAAGGATGCTTGGAAGTACGCCCTGGTGTCCGGGCTGCAGCGTGAGGGTGGCCTGGAGCCCTCACTAGCAACGGCTCCTGCATCCTTCTCCTCAGCATCAAAATGACACAGTAAATCCTTCCCAAGGACTTCTTCTGTGCCAAGCACTATTCCAAGTGTATTGCCCACATCATCTCCTTTGATTCTGTAACAATGCAGTGGAGTAACTACGATCATTATTCTCGCTTTGCAGATGAAGAAATTAGAGCCTTGTGCACTTTTAAGTAAGTTGCCCAAAGTCAACTAGAGCCAGATTGGCACCCAGCAAAGCTAGTTCCAGAGTGTGTGCTCTTCACCTCCATGCTCCACTGCTTCTTTTGCAACCTTTGCCCTACTCTGCTCTCCACTGACCAAAAAGATTTAGGACAGAAGCTTGCCTCCCACCCTCTGTCCCTGGACTGGGACAGGTTTTCTCTGCCTCCCTCCTGGTGACAGGCTTCAATGTTCTGTACTGGGACCTGATTGCAATATCCTCATGGCTTCGAGAATCTCAGCGGACCTGGCTTTGTATGCCTTCTGCCCCACTTACATACAAGCTGTGTGATCTTGGGCATGATATATAACTTCTCTGAGCCTAATTTCCCTCTGAGACCTACTCATAGGAGTACTGTTAGGACAAAATGAAATAATAAAGGAATAGATCAGTTACCTGCACATAGTAGGTGCTTCTCTCTCCCTCCTTCTTCTCCCTAGCACCATTTAGTCAACAAATCTCTATTAAATGCCTGTTTAACATACATGAATAAATAATGCATGGGCCTTCTTCCTATGGGATTTCCAATCCAGTGATTTATTGGGAATTTTTTCTTTGCATCTTTTCTGAGCTGTGGGGAGATTGCTTTTGGCTTCCCTGGGTTCTGGGTCCAGAGGACTGACCAGGCTGGTCCCAACTCATTAGAGGGCTCTGACCTCAAGGAAGTTTACATTTAGTGGGAAAGCCCCAATATTTTCATCTTTGAATATCTTATACAGGGCTTGAAGAAATTCTGGGACGGCTTTTCTGATGTTAACAAAATGAAATGTCCTGGGGGAGTTGTTGTCTACCCTGCAGGGTGAAGGTGATTCCCACGGTGCCGGTCCCTTAAGCACAAAAGTACTGAATTCTGCCCTTAGCGTATGAAAGCAGCCATAGGCAACGCTAAAGGAACAAACACAGTGTGTGCCAATAAAACTTTATTTACAAAAACAGGCAGCTGGCCAGGCTGCTATTCGTCTACCACTGCTCAGAATTTCTCCTTCCTCTTTACTGTCAAAACAAATTTTCCCATCCTCTTAACACCCTGCTTTCTATACCTACTTGATCAACAGACCCCACCATATATTGTAAATGATTGAACAGAATTAAGGAATTACTCATATCAACATCCTCCACCTTTGAAACCTTCAATAGTAATAATAATAACAACAAAATAAGCCTTTATTGCTTGTTACATGCCTGGCCCTTCTCTGAGACCTAATATACAATAATTCATTTAATTCTCACAATATTCATCTAATTTTACAACTGAGGAAAATAAGACCCAGAGGAATTAAATAACTTGTCCAAGGTTTTCCAGCTAACCTAAGTGGGAACTGGGTACAGATCAGAGTCCATGTTCTTAATCACTATGCAATACAGCCTCGACTTAATGATACCTGTGTTATATCCTCCTATATTCTCCCCCTTCCTCAGAAAGTAAAGTCTCTTGAGGGTACTGATCATATCTCATTTTTCTTTGTGTCCCCCAGGCCAACATCCAAAACAGTGCTTTGCTTACAGTAGGTACTTACTAAATTTTGGTCAAAGAAAAACAAACACATGCATTTAAAAGAGGTCTTGCTGAAGGTAATGTGTTTATCCAAAGGAGTGGCTCCAGTGGTGGGAATTTCTGGCTTACTTGTAACAGGCTGATGGAGGAGCTTGTGGAGATAAAGTACCTTTAGTCACACCATATGCATGTACATGGAAGCCCATTCCTTGAGTGGAACAACCCTCATATGGAACCGATGTCTTCCATTTGCTTCTCTTTCCCTCTTTTTTCTTCCCTGTTCACTGCCGCAACTTACCTTCTAAAAACTTGCGGATCATAGAGTCCTTAGTGGTCCGAGAAAAACCATCTCCGGGGATTGGGCTGGATGTACTGGCCTGAAGCATTTCAACATCTAGAAGGAAAAGGAGACTAAGAGTTTATATGTTGTTCTTCCACACAGGCAAGGACATTTTATAGATGGATATACAAGGTTCAACAAATCAAGAGATTCAGGAATTCATTAAACCATCCATCTACCCAACCATCCACCTAACCATTCATTCCTCTATCCATCCATCCATCCATCCATCCATCCATCCATCCATCCATCCATCCATCTATCCATCCAGTTATCTTATCTACTCAATAAGGACATCCAGTAAGTATGGGGTATAAAGGAAAACAACATTCAGGCCCTTTCCTGGGCCACAGGACTCAAAATGTATAAATATGCACATCTGCATTTGAATGAATGGGCTTAACTTTTAAATATAAAACTGTAGCCTTCTTTAAAACTGCAAACAAATAATTGAAAGCAGGAACAACAAAGAATAAATAAACTGTGGTTTATTTGAACAATGGATCATTTTGCAACAGTTAAAAAGAATGTATTGGAGCTACTTCTATCAACATAGTACCATCTCAAAAACATAACAGCCAGAACTCTATTTTTAGGTCATCCACGTCATCGGTCATTTATAAGGAGGAAGCACAGAGACCTTTGGTTTTCACTATCAAGCATAACTCCATGGAGACGTGTGAAAACCATTTAATTACCACAGCAGATTCTACTCAAACCTGAGTAACCAAAAGTGACCTGTTACTTTGTGACTCTGAAGTATGCATTTTGGGAGCAAAAATTCAGCCTTGTGTTACAAGTAAAGCTTTGATATTAAGAAGTTGTATTCAGTAAAGTCATATCACACAATCACTAGGGACTTGTTTGCTTAGGCAAAATGTGTAGTTTGAAGTTGAATACTATATTTTGAGAAAAAAAATTGAATTTAATCAGTATACACAGATACACTGTTTCCTTACTACTTTGATCTTTGGGGACCAGTTAAATACAACCTGGTGACTTTATGTTTATATTTATATCACATTTCCTAAGAATATTCATTAAAAAGAAGTCATGATCATAAAGTTAAGGATAATGAACTTTACATGGCATAATCTGAGTTTTGAGACAAAATATTAGCATTTATATAGAAAAAAAACCTGGAAAGAAATACATGAAAATGCATACAGTGGTTGACACAACATTGTAAAATAACTATTACTCAATAAAAAAATGTAAAAAAAATGCATATAGTGGCTATTTCTGAAGTCATATGGATAGATCATGGACATTTCAGATCATGGACACTTTATTTTCTATTTTATAATTTTCTTTGTTTTCCAAATTATCCACAGTGACTTGTGTTGCATTCATACATGAGAAAAACATTATCAACACTTTTTTTTAAAGGCCTAGGTAATTATGATCAAGTATGTACAAATGGATTCCCAAATCAAAAATCAAATCAAAAGGTTATTAAAAATAAATTATGGCTCACCTGTCAATTAGCAGATTGACTGATTTTTTTAATAATAAAAAATGCTGATTTTTAAATATTCAAGTGACCAGATATTACATTATTACATAGCATAGCTCTTACTGGACTTTGTTTCAAACTTTGATAATCTGCTGATAATCAAAATATAAATTTTATACAATAAAAAACAAAACAGAACAGAATGTTGAGTGACAGAGTTGCAGACTGGTGTTTGCAGTATGATATTGTTTATATAAAGTTTTAAGGCCTATAAAACAGTACTATATATGATCTACAAATTCATAAATATGTAGTTAAACATATGAAAACATGCTGACATTCTGGGAAGGATAAATGTTGAATTCATGATAGTGGTTACCTCAGGGAGGGAGAGAGGACAATTGGATTCCAGAGGGGGTTCATAGTGGGTATATTTTTTAAAAATCTGAGGTGAGATGAAAGAATACGTATTTTCAATGAATCAGAACCTTCAAGAAATACATTTTTTAACATTTTTTACTGATTTATAATCATTTTACAATGTTGTGTCAAATTCCAGTGTAGAGCACAATTTTTCAGTTATACATGAACATACATATAGTCATTGTCACATTTTTTTCTCTGTGAGCTACCATAAGATCTTGTGTATATTTCCCTGTGCTACACGGTATAATCTTGTTTATCTGTTCTACAGTTCTGAAATCCCCGCTATCCCTTCCCACCCTCCGCCCCCCTGGCAACCACAAGTTTGTATTCTATGTCTGTGAGTCTATAGAAGAAATACATTTTTGAAAATCAGTATGCTGCTACCTGTTTCCCCCAAACAGGGGGAAATAAGATTCTATTTTTGTATTTTCTTGTATAAGCAAAAAGAAACTCTGGAAGGAAATGTAAGAAATTAAGATCAGAAATTAAGATTAAGGTTTCCTGGGAACTAGAAAGATAACAGACAAAAACTAGAGAAAGTTTTTTTTCACTGCTCATCTTTTTATATTTTAGTTTTTTAGCCTATTGAAAAAATAATGGAAATAAAAGCAGAGCTCTGATCATGTTTGTGTTACCTTAAATATTATCCAAAAAGGAAGAAAGAAAGAGAAGCCAACTTCCTTTTCCCACCATTTCAGTTTAATGTTTCCTGAAATAGTGGAGACATTACAATGTACCTTGATAACCTCTAGTCCAAAGCCCTGTGATTCCAAATGAGGAAACTGTCAATTCAGCGAACCTCTCTTGTCACCACTGAATTATATAAAGTAAACCATAGAGCAATTAGGGTGACTTACTGATCCTGACACATACCTAGAGGTATTTTAACTTTAAAAATAAATTTCTGATAAGAACTCACACTTAATTCATTCCTTAAAAATTCAAGAGCAGGAAACTCCTCTTATTTGAGATTTCTATTTAAATTGCTTAATTGTGGTCTTATGGAACATTTTCCGCATGGAGTTAGAAAATTGGGAAGAAAGACATATCCTCTGGGTGTGCCCTACTGGGAGCAGGACCCTCCTCTACCTCCCTACCCTGACCCCTACACCCCTTCAGCCATCTGACCCTGACCCAGACACCTTCTGAAGCACCTCATTCACACAACAGAGGAATAGACCCTGAAGGAAAGGGTCTGCTTGCACCAGACACCCCCAGATATGAGGGGAGGGAGAAATTTTATGTCCAGTGCTGCATCCTCCGGGAAACCACAGCCCCCTCGGGTCCAAGCATCTCTAAGAACCTGATGGAGGCAGAGCAGCTTCAATCACCAATAACCAAATCCCCCAGGCTGGCAACACCAGAGCACAAATCCTCCACACACAATTGGTCACCCCACTGGCAGTGGTCAAAGAGTCACACACGGTCTAGCTATTTCACTAACACAGTTGAGTTCGAGAGAACTGTTTCCATATCCAAAATGCAGCTGCAAAATTGAAGGAGCTACAAAGAGTGTTAGAAAAACAAAATGTAGAAGAAAATGGAAGCAGCAACAGCAGCCCTGGCTGAACCAGGCACACTACGACACTAATAATGTGGGTTTCTGCCTGGGGTACTATGACCCCATCTTAATGTGCTGAATACTTTGTGGATTAAAGGAAAAGGCAGAAAAAAAGAATGAGCACGGGTAATAAGACATATCAATATCATGATCCCTAGATACAATGCACTGAGGAGGACGCGGTATTTCCACAGCATTCTTGCCCAAAATTGGTAACTCCAGTCCAATCGTAGGAAACATCTGACAAACCCAAACTGAGGGGCATTCTACAAAATAATTGGTCAGTGTTCTTTTGAAGTGTCAAAACGAGGAACGGCTGAGGAACTAACACACACTGGAGGAGACCAAGGAGAAGCAAGAGCATGTACCATGGGACCTTATCTAGGACCCTACCTACAAACAGAAAGAGAACATCAGGGGGAAATGAGTAAAATTGGAACAAGGTCCAGAGGTTAGTTCATGGTATTGCACTGATGTTAATTCTCAGCTTTGTAATTATACTCTGGTTATGTAAGATGTTAATATTAAGGAAACCTGAGTGAAAGGTATACAGGAAGGGTAGTATTTTTGCAACTTTCCACTAAATCTAAAAGTAGTTCAAAATAAAAGTGTTTCTTGTTTTTGTTTTTGTTTTGTTTTAAGAAGAAGGGAGAGGAGGGAAAGAGATGAGAAAAGTAGAGGAAGAAATGTAACAGCAAAACTAAAGAAGCGTAACTCCCTGGGAATGACCTACGCTGACCCTTTCCTGTCCACTTACACTATCAAGTCATCTTCCAGGGACTCCTGTGAGCCATGCACCTGTGAGTATGATGATTGAGGAAGGGCTAAATAAGACACCTGTGACAAAGAGATCTTTTTACTCTACAGTTCACACCTTAACCTATGGTTAAGAGCATGACTTTGGAAGTAGACAAACTAGGATCTGCTCAGTATCAGTCCTGTGACCTTAGTAGAGTTATTTTTCCTCTTTGAGGCACCTCAGAAGGATGGTGAGAGGCTTGGACACTAGGGTCAAAATGCATAGGTTCCAATTTTGACTCTTCCGCTGCTGACGGTAGGAACACCAGTCCAACTGCCTTTTAGATCCAGCTGATCCCTGAGACTCGCAAGTTGACCATGGGCCAAGCTGGTGCCAGTATACTCAGAAGGAGGGAGGACACGGGTCAGCAGAACAGTGCCAAGTGGCCTTCCTCATCTAGGGCAGCCTTGTGCCAAACCAGCAGCTCTCATGTAAGGAGAGAAGACGCATATCAGGCAGGTGGAGGAGGTGCCTTGGTGTCTCATAGGCAAAGCACTTCTCAACTCATGAGTTACATTAGCAACTCCTGAGGCATAGCTTCAGGGTCCCCATAAGAGGCATCCAGAGTCTTTGCCCTCAGGGAAGCCCAGAGTATGGTGCAGTTTACATACAGTTCCTCCCAGTTCCAGATGCAATTTACCAACCAATTAGGGGTCATTTTTATCACAGGCAATCCTGCCTAGAGACACAGTTGACTTATTGGCTCTTATCAGGTTACCAGGTTAACAGAGAGGAAGGCAACCGGAAGGTCAAATTCTCCTGCAGAAAAGGAAATGATAGCTGTTACATTAACTCTTGGGTCGAGTTGTTTA